GTTATCTTCGTTCAGGACATATATGCCAGGGAAAGTGTAAATAGTAGAATTTATCTGGCAGCTTATGATAACGAAGTTCCCATCGGGACAGTATCTTTCAAACAATAGTTCATGATGTGCAAATTTTTTGATAGAATTGCTGTTCCTCGGCTGTTTGATATTTTGCAAGAATGATAACCTTTGCCACAACAAAGCGTATTGAAAAATGGAATGCCATGTACAACCATGTGAATATTTCGGAGAAATATTATGTTAAGCCTAGAATCACTCACAAAGTTATTTACATCTCGTTTTTTATGCAGCCCCGTCAGGCCGCGGCAGTTCATAGACCTGAATCTGAGCTCAGTCATGATTTGGACGGTTTCCTACTAACAATGAATAGATGTAATTGTGCAAGTACGCGCGAGCATGGACAGGTGTGCGTATGCGTGCGGGCGTGTGTGCGTGCGTGCTGTGTAAGTGATGGCGAATATAGTTTTTGCAGGGTAGGTTTTATCGTGTAGCACTCACGTCGTGTATAACTGCTGCATTATAAGTCATATCACTTATGGGTAAAGTCTGTATAAGTTTTTGCAGTGGGTGTAATATCGCGTGTGACTGATGTAGCGTTACTGTCGGCACGAGGTTTTGCCGAAGCACCTATGTCGTGACATTCTCCTAAGATGGCGAAAAATGCCTCAAGAAACGTTCAAAAGCGGTTCAAATTTCGAAACGCACCCCTTTTGTCCATGCATCTGTATGCTCCTCGCGTAGTGTTTTGCCGTGAACAGAAAACTTCATCCCGACCAGCTGTGCGGTGGCATCGCTTGGCACGTTGCAATTTCTAACGCCATCGGGATTACCGGTCACGGTAGGACAAGCCCACAGTCATAGTTACTTGCCTGGCGGGGCAACGGTCAAGCAGCAGGCTACGCTTGATGAGTACTCGCACCACGTCATCGCGAGAGAAACAAACCGCGCTAAACTTGTCGTTAAAACGTACCGCCAGTCTGCCACCGTGTGCAGCCGAGTGGTCTACAACATACCGCCAGTCTGCCACCGTGTGCAGCCGAGTGGTCTACAGCATACCGCCAGTCTGCCACCGTGTGCAGTCGAGTGGTCTACAACATACCGCCAGCCTGCCACCGTGTACAGTGAAGTGGTCAGCTGGCACGATGCTTGGAAGGGAGCGGGTCGAGGTGTCAGGTTGAAAATGCGTTCCATAGGCTATTTCTGGTTGCACGCTGATCGCTAGGACTCCGACATTTTGACTGTACGCCGATCACAAGGACTCCTGACTCTCTGGATGAGCGCTGGTCACGAGGATCAGACATTCTGGCCGCGCACTGGTCACCAGGACTCCGACATACTGGTTGTGCGCTGGTCACCAGTACTCCGCCATTCTGGATGTGCACTGGTCACCAGGACTCCCAAATTCCGAGAGCGCGTTGGTCACCAGGACTCCGACATTACGGGTGTGCAATGGGCACCAGTACTCCGACATTCTGGGTGCGCACTGGTCACCAGGACTCCGATATTCTGGGTGCGCGCTGAACTACGGCAAGCAGCGCTTGGTTTTGGTGGAAACGTGCCCAATCAGCAACAGTGCATCCTTCGCCACCAAGCAGCCGTCCATCCAGATGCGGAGCAAATTCTATCACAGCTTGAAATCTGACGAGCTTGGTCTTGCCTTCGATGAGTGCCGCACCCCTCAGCCGACTTTTGGCCAGCCCCCTCCCCCCAAGCATGTAAGTGAACCAAGCCAACGCGACGAGCACTCAAGTTCGGGTCCCGCTCAGGCAGGTCTGAGCCTCTGGCCGGCGCGCGACGCTCACCCAGCCGGCCAACTCATCGCCCAGGCCTGCGCCAGCGGTCACGTCGCTGCCCCACTCCCGTGCAAACATCCCAGCCTTCAGAATGGCCACAGAAGATCACCTTAATCTTTCCAGTTTCGCTATGTAAATATGTCGATCACTCAGCAGGCATTCCAACAACCGCAGCTCGTAGCTCAGCTACGCGACTGAGTCTCGCTCGCAAAACAAGCCGAAGCCACCCGGGGTAAGGCTTTAAAGACACCCTACCTCGTCGCATCCAGCCCACCCGCACGCGCCCCTGCCCGCAGCGGCCGGAGCCGGCGGGCATCGGACGGTGGCCGGGCGTGCTGTCGTAGCCCGGGGCGATCACGCGACCCGCGACGAGCGCCGCTGATTGGCTGGCCGCCCCGACGCCGCATCACGCCGCCGGCGTCAGTCTCGTCTGGTCAGCACGAGCGGAAATGGAGACGATGAGGGCTGGGCACGCACGATCCTTATCAGACCCGACCCATAACCCGGCCCGGATGAGGGAGCGGCGTCATAAGTACGCCTTCTGGAGGGGAGGGGCGGAGACACGCGCTGCGTTCCAGACCGGCCACGAGACGGGTCGGTTGATCTGTTCTCATGAGTTTGGCTTGCGTTTCAAGTTCGGATATAGCACTTTGTTTGAAATATGACGTGAGAATTCCAGGTGATGTCCACAAGGCTGAATTGCGATCACGTACTGTGTTCATTTTTAATTCACCCAGTCGCGCTGTTTTGCAGTGGGATCTGTCGAAGCAAAACAGTGTTGGTTGTCGAGCATGGCATGCTGCCGCGAGACTGCGGTCACCTAACAGGCTGAACATGTGAGAGGCGGGCGTTGCATTAGCTTGCTGCAGCAGTCTAGGCATTTGCAATTCACGTAGACACCACAATAATTAGTGCGGTAGAAATGCGCATGAATAGAGTTAGTACGTGTCGCACATGTAGTTTGTTGAATAAGGCTTCAAAGAATGCAATTCCTTTGCCAACTGCACATGCCGCAGTATTAAAAAAACAAGATATTGCAAAATGGTACCAAATAGTGTGCGCTCCAAGGCTCTGTAGTAGTGGTTTTGTAGTAGTCCTTCGGTGTCTTAGAGGGCTGCAATTGTGTTGTTGAAAGCAGTTTTTCACTTATAGATATACGAAGAGTTGCTAGTAAGCTAATTTCGTCGTGTCTGATGCTGGCTTCAATATCTTCAAATGTGGAACATTCCGAGCAACGAAAATAGGTGAATAATTCTTGAATGGTGCCGCTGAAAAAGTCCATGGCATTCCTTCGAAGATTCGGACATTCCGTTGCAAAAGAATATAATTTGCTTCTGGCCGCGACCTTCAGCTTGAATACTGAAATGTGTACGGGGCCAGGCGTTTCTGCCAGCTCACCAAACCAGCGAGGCACTCCAGCCAAATACTACACCGCATTACTTCTCTGCTCGTTGGGTCAGCCTATGGTACGCGCCGCGGACTCCGCGCTTGCGTTGGCTGCGTGTGGTGGTGTTTGTGGCTGCGTGTGGTGGTGTTTGTGGCTGCGTGTGGTGGTGTTTGTGGCTGCGTGTGGTGGTGTTTGTGGCTGCCCGGCGAGGGACAGGCACAGGACAGGACTCAGTATTTGCCCTTACAGGTGAACTCATCCGGTATTTGGCGTGCGACGCCACGTGGCGAAATCAAAACAAAGGCGCCTTGACCTTCGACTTCAGTTAAGTTCCGGTCGGTGACGTCATCGGCCGGCAGGCGCCTGCAGTTAGACATCCACAGGAAGCATGCCGTTCAGTCACTCCCCCGCTGCTCATGGGGCTGTGACTGTGCCCGACTGCTACCTATTTCCAATCAGATGTACCCATCCGTATGCATTTTTCTAGCGAGTTAGTTTTAAGTTGTAGGGACGTTTAGAAAAGCTTACGCCCAGAGTTGCTCTTTTGCGTTGGGGGACGCAAGACCAGTGTAGATGAAGCCAATTATGGCGTAAAGAAGCGTGGGAAGCAACAATACACCGTATTTCTTTAAGTATTTCCCAGATATTTTGTAAAAGCCTTACCTGAGCCTGCACCCGCGCCCACCATTGTCTCCATATCGGTACCCGACACAGCCCGTTCTGCATTCCACGAGGGTATCCATGAGTTTACCCAACCAATAAAGTCCTCTGCCTGTAGGTCCACCAGTCCTGAGCGGAGCGCACCAGTCCTGCTCTCCGACCGGTCGGGGCGGCGCTCCTGGCCGCGGTCGCCACGACCCACGCGTGCCATCCGCGCGCGCCGCCAGCGCACGCACCTCCCAAGGTTCCACCCGGTCTTCGTCAAGGCGTTATGTATTAATGTCCACAACCGTCACAATATGCTGCATTATGGCGTAACCTGGAAGGGCGTAGCAGATGACGAGATAACACCGGCGGCCGGCACCAACGCCGGCAACATATCACAGAGCGTAAGCAATAGCGGGTCCCTGAATCGCCAGCACGCCCCGCCTCGCAGCGCGCGGGGCGGCGGCTGCCAGCCCAGTGGCAAGAACGACAGCGGCAGTGGGCTTCACTGAGCACTTCACACGACGCGGCCTGTCACAACATCCGCGCCCCGCGTTCGAAGCTGGCTGTGCCGGTCTTGCGACACGCTGGATCCCGGGCGCCCCAGCTGGATCCCGGGTGCCCCAGCTGGATCTCGGGTGCCCCAGTTGGATCCCGGGTGCCCCAGCCCGTCGCATAGGTGCAGGCGATGGGAAGCCCGCATCACAGAGTACACGCGGCTACGGCATACAGCAGCAGTAACGACACCAGCAAACCATTGCATATGAACGGCGCCACGCAGAAAACGTGTCTGCACAAGTCAAAACCATGATATAAACACGCCACACATGCACGCACTGACTACAGCGACACCACGCGCGCGCCATTCCCGTGACCCGGGCGGTGCGGGAGCCGCGGCCGGCCGGCGGGGCGCCCGCACATCCCGGCCGCCGTCTGAGTCCACCGCACGCTCGAACACCGCTCAGAACTGTCTGTGCTGTCGGCGCAGCCGCTCCAGGTGCAGCCGGTACAGGTAGCTGTTGATGGTGAAGTACTGCGGGCACTCGTCCGGCGTGAGGTCCGGCTCCGGCGCCAGCGCCGGCGCCAGCGGTGGCGGAGCGTCAGCGCCAGCCGGCTCCGGCGCCAGCATCGGCATACTCAGCGCTGCGTCCGGCCGGCCAGGCGCGCCGGCCTGTGACGAGGTGCCGGCCGCCGGCCAGCCACCCTGCCGGCGATATCGACAACTGATAGGACGGGCGTCGCCCGCAAGGGACCGCCACCGACCGACGGACACACCGAGGATTTGCGCATGCGACTGATATTGCGCTAGGTACAGGATAATCTGTGGGGGAAAACTTGAAGAAGCTTGACAAGGTTTTGAGTGCAGAAATTGATGCTGCCTAAAATACATCTCTGCTCGGTTTAGTGTCGAGCCTTGTTAGTGCCTATTTTGTCATGAATATACAACCAATGCAGGAGGAAGTAGAGAGATGGCTCGCTAGTTTGCAAAACGACCAACAGCGCGGAGCAATTACAACGTTCGGAATCGAATTGGTCGGCGAATTGAATCAAAGTGTTGACAAAAGCCTCCAAAAAAATGATCCGAAAACGATCGACTACGCAAAACATTAAAACAAAAGTCACCTTTGGAGATGAAAAAATGAAGAGAAAAGTAAATAAAAAGAAGACTAAAATGAAGATCACAGTCTTCCAACATCCGATCACTTTAGCTAAAGCGGCATCGTTGTGGCGTTGCTCACAAATACTGGAGGCGTTGGCTGGCATATGCTACCTTGTTTACTCTGCGCACGATCCATATTTTACACAGCACATTTCTTCCCCTGCGCAACTCTGGTTTAATTTGCTCGACCTTCGGAACCACAAGCTGAAAGTTTTCGGCTCGGACGGAATATACATGCAAGTTCACATAGCGTGGTGACTCGATATGCTTGATACAGCATGCAGCTGCAAGCATCCTCTGTACGCTTCGAGGCGCCGCGCCAGCGACAGGCACCAGTGTGAAGAGAAGTGACACAGGAAACAAAACACAGGGGGCCTCGACCGCGAGGGGGATTACCTGTCGGAGCTTCCGCGCATCAGTCACGAATATGACTGCGTGCAGATCACGTATGTCCGCATGTAACACGACAGAATCTTAGCCTCAGGACAGACTCAGCTGCCAAAAGACGGCCGTGGTGGTACACGTTCAGGGTGCCGGGTTACTTACGGCGTGAGCATGTGATGAGCCGTGGTGGTACACGTTCAGGGTGTCGGGCTACTTACCGCGTGAGCATGTGATGAGCCGTGGTGGTACACGTTCAGGGTGTCGGGCTACTTACCGCGTGAGCATGTGATGAGCCGCGGTGGTACACGTTCCGGGTGTCGGGCTACTTACCGTGTGAGCATGTGATGAGCCGTGGTGGTACACGTTCAGGGTGTCGGGCTACTTACGGCGTGAGCATGTGATGAGCCGTGGTGGTACACGTTCAGGGTGTCGGGTTACTTACCGCGTGAGCATGTGATGTGTTGAGGGACAAACTGTTGATGCGTTTTGATATCGGCAGGCATTCGTTCTCCACCTCATCCATATCTCTTAAGCGTTTCTGGCCAGTCCTGAGAAGGATGGCAGCTGCATCATGGCGAGAAAATGCACCACCAAAAATGACGAAAACGACACAAACACGACACAAAGCTTAAAAGAGGATTCTATCACACGAGTTTCGCGGACAAAATTCACGAAGCGAATACGAGTGCGGTACATCCTCAATGCGCTTCACACGCGTACAGTGACGAACGTGCACATTTCATGTGGGTTTCATTTACATATGAACACGTTTTTCAGTCGCGTCCTTGGTTGGATAGGTTGTACTGCAAGTCGGCGCGGCCCAAAACAAAGACTCCAAACAGCCAGGTGCTCACCTCTCATGATTAAACCCATTTGGTCGGTTATTCATTTCCACCAGGAACTTAGCGCAGAATCTGCAACAGAGAGCATCAGCAATTACGACACTAGTATTTCTTAGTGACTTCTGGAGTATTCGCAAACTATGCCATCCAAAATACCAGACTTTGACGCCGTGGAAGCTCGGATCACGATTTCACACGATGCCTTCGTCCGTACAGATCGCTTGTGTTCCTCGCAGAAACTGACAAATCCCCGCGTTCGTGTGGCTGCGCCGCAAGCGCTCGCGTCGTTCGCAGCCGGCTATGTGGACTGTGCACTCGGGCTCCAGCATCGGCGCGACGCCACACGCATTTATTAACGCAAGCACGGGTCATGAGGAGGCGGACTGAACCAATCAGCGCCACGGGCGCTGCAGCATCGCCGGAGCCGGCGCCGCCCGCCGCTGTGCGGTGTCTGCGCCCGCGCGGCACCCGCGCCGGCCGTCACTAGACTGCCGTCACGTCACCGTCCCGGGCCGTCACCAGACAGCGCCCAGAGCGGCGCCAGCCAGTCTGAAGCGCCAGCTGTCAGCCACGCTCAGTCATCCGACCCGCGGCGACACCTCGGCTCGAGATCTCCTCCAAACCACTGCTGGTGCCCGGCGCAGAGCTTCGGCGTCCGGCACAGCGTCCCCTGCCACCTCCCCAGCAGCAGCAGCAGGACGATACCCAGCGTCTGGCCGAGCGTCCCGCCGCTTTCCCCACAACAACAGCAGTGGACGCCATGACCTCTGCACCGCACGGTCCGCCACCCCACCGCGTATGCTGCGGCGGCACCGTTCGCACCGCGCCGCCGGTCAGCTGTCCATGCGCACTGCCGCCGGCCACCGCCGCCAGATGGCGAGGGGAAGCAGTACAGCCGGCGGCCGGCGTCACCTGACGCCTTTAAGAGGCGTGGCCACGACCGGCGCCACTCGCCACTGTCCGTGGTCACTCCCGCATGCGTCGACCTTTGACCCCAACGGCCAACAAGTCTGCATCTTATATTTTGATACGTCCGAGATTCAACTTCAAACTTTTGATCACAGCCTTCAGCCAATTATGCAACGAAGCTGAGTTAGGTCCAAGAAGATGTGAAGTCCGCAGTGACAGCTTTTGACTAAAAGTGGCAGCGGCTGCATGCATCTGACGGCGATCGACTGCCCAGCAGCTTGGCTGGGCGGTAAAAAGCTGAACATCTCGCCATGTGGCATACCCACGTGTCTGCGCCCCCGAGCCACTCTTGTGTAAAATGCTAAACATCTCGCCATGTGGTATACCCATGTGTCTGCGCCCCCGAGCCACTCTTGTGTAAAATGCTAAACATCTCGCCATGTGGTATACCCATGTGTCTGCGCCCCCGAGCCACTCTTGTGTAAAATGCTAAACATCTTGCCATGTGGCATACCCATGTGTCTGCGCCCCCGGGCCACTCTTGTGTAAAATACTGAATATCTCGCCATGTGGCATACCCACGTGTCTGCGCCCCCGAGCCACTCTTGTGTAAAATACTGAATATCTCGCCATGTGGTATACCCATGTGTCTGCGCCCCCGAGCCACTCTTGTGTAAAATGCTAAACATCTCGCCATGTGGCATACCCATGTGTCTGCGCCCCCGGGCCACTCTTGTGTGACCCGTTGATCAAAGACAGCTGACAGCTGGCCGACGATGTCAGGCTGGCATGTGACAGCCTTGTCATGTCACTATGCAAGACAGAACAAACTTTCAGGAATCACGTCCCTTCAGCAGACATTATTCTGCCTGGGTGGCCACGCCTGGGTCTTGCACGCATGGGTCAATAAGTCATGAATGACAGGAGCTGAGGGATCTCGGTACAGTTCTCTAAGCATGTTAGAGAGGGGTGTTCAATCCTGGCCAACGAATATGGGCAATGGGCAGGTGTACAAACTGATTCCGAATTCATGGTGGCAGAGTAGCTCGGTTGGGATAACACTCAACACCAAAGTCGGAGACCCAGGTTCGCCTCCTTGCTGATCTTTTCGCCTCTACAGGCGTTAACATGACCACAGCAGTCACCAGCTCTTCATAAAAGACACGAGTAAGCAACTGTTGGAAACTTTTCCGGCGCAAGTGGGCAGCGACTGTGTGCTCGCACACGTTGTGGTGCACCTGAACAATGGTGCCAAAAACCTTCAGTCCCTCGCGACATGTCGAGCTGGGGTGTTCGGAGCGTAGCTCTCGCACAACTGCGAATGAAACGTCACCCACCCGGAGGCGGCATCTTAGAGAAAGACAAATGTACTGTGTCTGTTCCAGCAATGCACGCACAGAATGCTCTATGTGCGACACCTGTGGAAAACATCGATGCTCTCATAAGTATGAGCTGATCTTACGCATCAATGACAATTACTGTGGTCTAGCATGGCTGTAGCGTCTGGGCTTGCTCGTGATCTTAGAGAATGCCCGATGAGACAGTTTGTCTATTGGTGGAAATTCAATTTTCAAAACTTAAATCTTTATGTTCAAGCACATCCAGGTATTCCTTTATCTAAGAAAAGCCTCTTGTTATCAGAGATACAGCATGACAATGTTGCAGCAGCTAACATCTGAACTGTCTGACCCCATGGGTTAGGGGCTGATTAATAAGTGGAGACAACAAAGAAGTGCAAAGCAGCACAACGTGCAGTTGTATGAAGATATATGCTAAGACAGCCTCTTAGGAAATTCTAGCCATATTTTTTATGGAGCATTATGCACAATTAATTTTCTCTTGAATCATGCAGCTGCAATGACATAACCATGCACATCATTTCACATAACTGTGCAAGTATACTGATATACATAAACTGAGTTCTTGAGTGTAAATGTTATGCTGTATGTAGCATTTGTGTAAGCCTTAAGGTTACTCTTTTTAATACCCAGTTTGCCCAAAATTGCTGGAATTCATCACAAAACTTTGTGAGAAATAATCCTCAAGAGTAGGACCCTTCTTCCAGTACCACCTGTTGTACTTCAGTCTCAAATTTCAAAATGGCTCAGTTATTTTCCCTCAACCAAAATAGGTCTATCAATTTTGCAATGTCTCAGGCTTCCTCAATTGCCATATTTTAGATAGCTGTTGAGGTCCTAAAAATGGCAGATGAGGTCCAGCTGGGTCATGTTATTGCTTCTGATGTTAAAAGAAACAAGATATCAAAAGAAGCATGTGTGTTATTTACAAGCATTGTCAAAATTTATCCTTTAGACCAGCCATCAATTCTGTAGTCATATCTGAGCCTGCCACACCCCAGTTTGCTGTCTTACTGTAGATTTTAGCCTGGTGGAGATTTGCTGACCCAAATGAAACCATGCAGCAACACTTATTACTACACATTTTTAATTCCTTGAGTTCTGGTGGCTGGTTATTTCTACCTTGTTTTTAGTCTTAAGACATCCACTATGCATCATTTACAGGGACACATCCAGGTCCTGAAAGCAACCACATAAAACACTAAATATACTGAGTGCATAAAAAAGCTTGCTGTATGCATAGGGAAGCTGTTTACAGCAATACTTGCATCTGAATTACTTAATCTAACTTCTCTGTAAAATCATGACAGGCTGACTGGGTATCATTGTAAAAGAAATAGCAATTTTCCTTTCATATTTCCAAGCCCTCTTCAGGCACAGCAAGTAGTACCAAAGGATAACTCGGTCAGGTGATTAGTCTCTACCCTATACTTATCAAGCATTAGGCCTGCTTAGCATATTAAATCTAATACTCTAATTTGGGCTGATGCAATTTATGGTAGCTTCACTACCCACTTTCTTAGCCAGACCAGCAAGAATGGAGAATACTGAAATATATGTGAAGTAGCTCATTTCAGTACCTTTTAAATGCACATCTTTAGAGTTGCACTTATCAAAATTGAAGATGGCATGTGTGCAAAGAACACTGGAAAATTCCCACATTCCTGGTCCCTGTTGGTACATCTGATGGTGTCCTTCTCCTGGTCCCCACAATGGGAAGACTTAAAGAGTTGCCTTCCTTGTGTGCAAAACTATGGCATTAATGATGCAACAAATGGAATCTGTATTAGACATTTGCTTCTTCCAGCAGACCAACCAGGTAACCAAATGTATGTCAATATCTGTGGAGGCAAACAGGCGGTTGGAATGAACGTCCATGAAAATACAATTTGATTGGAACCAGGGGCACAGCCATGGGTTCCTGGCCATTTAAGCCTGTATCATCCTTTCACCGCAGATGGCTCCTGGAAGGCAACTGACAGGAACCAAAAAATCGATGCGATGTGTTCTCACCGAGCTCCTACCTTCCCCCCCCCCCCCCCTAGAAAATGCTGCCTCCGCCGCTGAAAAGCATGACAGACCTTATTCTAAACAAACTTACCCAAAACAAGTCCACAGCACGCTCCCCACGGTCCAACCGAGACCCAGGCACTCGGACTTAGTTCGAAGAAGCTTGCGAGGGGGAGGGTCAGGAATATGTTAACACTGCTCCCGTCAAGGCACGTTCCTTCAGATCGATGTGTGGACGGGCTACGAGGTCAGGCTACAGGACTCAGTGGGGATGGGATGTGTTTATCATTCGTGAACCGAACATGACGCGCATAAGGCGTTATTAGCGCAAAAATGTCTTGCATTTTGATTATATCACATGGCTTATGAGGAAAATAGTACAAGGTTATAAGATATTTTCATATCAAAAATTGCATATAACACCCTATAAATTAAAAAAAATATATTTTATAATATTTTATCTATATAAATATGTAAAAATATTACAACTAACCCACAAGCGCAGTTTTAAAGTATTACCACGTGATATGTAGCTATATACGTTAATTAAATTTTTGGGTTTTTATATCGTAGCGGGCGTTAATCCGGGAGCGTTGTTTGTGTGCTGGTGCCACGGCTGTCGTGTGCCCGTGACAAGAAAAGCGTGAGTTTGCCGCTGCCTTGCCTATCATTTTCGATACAAATTCCACCAAATTTTGCCGTTGAACTGGAATTGTGCGACCGAATGGTAGGGTTCATGGCTCACACAACAAGCACTACTTAGCGTGAGATTTGATCCCAGGAATCCATCCATTCAGAGGATTCGGATTTTTACAAAAATGAAACTTGCTTGTAGGACAACTACTCAGTTACCAACCTTTCATGAGTAGTTGGTTGGAAGTGTATTTATTAACTGGCACATGGTCTGTTGTTTTTTCCTCTTCACACTTTTGAGTTTGTAAGAGGGATTTGTTGAACAAGTGACAAATTATTTGAAAACAGTATGCCAATCCCCATGGTACAGTTAGAGTTAAGCCAGTTTTCAGGTGAAGCCAAGGATGTAAATACTGTGATTAAAAAGACACTGTTTCATGAACTTGCCCTAGAACTGATCCAGACCTGTGCAGATCAATCTGTAGCTGATGGATACCATACATCATATTGTAATCTGACCTGTCATGTGTTTCTTGCTTTCAAGAGAATGTTTTGCATCTTGCAACACACCCTGGGAGGAGATGAGGCAGCAGGTGGCAGGGCCGGATTAAAAATGCTTTGTGGGTGTGGAGTACTTCTGTTGTGGGCTCTAAAATACTGAAAGTTATCCTGATTTTCAAAAGCTGGTTGAACTTCACTTTCCTGTACTGTGCAGGGTACTTTTAAACAAACATGTCCTGGTGAGAGGTGCTTAGATGGCATTCAAAGCTCATAGCCATGTATTTTTTCTAAACATGGGCTATCTAGGGAACAGTACCCAGTGAACCCCCTTGAATATACCTTGTTAAGTGATGCTGCACTATAACATAACTCAGATCAGGACCATATATCATCACAGTCAAGCAGCCCAAGGAAGATTGGTACCTCCAGAAGGTGAGGGGGCTCCAGGTACAGACACATGACAGGGCTGGCTTAGAGGGCCTGGGCCTCTTTGACACCCATGATGGGCACCCTTTTATACCATGAAGATGCATCTGCTGCATGCAATTAAAATGAAAAAGACATAAGTAGAGCAGCACAACTTAACCCAGGCAAACAGGTGATGTGGGCAAAACCTGTACTCTAGGCCAGTTGAAACACAAGGCATCTCAGCTCCAAACCCACATAATTACCATACTATCCATCTATAGGGCTTCAAGCCTAGATGAAGGGGCAGCCAGATGTCAAGCAGAATGTTCACCAGGTTTAGCAGGGGACACTCAAATATCCGGAGGACTGTCCCAAGCTGAAGGGTTGAGGCTCAACCTCAAGGCTAAAGGTAGATGGCAGGCTGCAATCAAATGGCCAAGCACAGGTACACCCCATGTTTAAGTAAAAAGGCACCTCTAATTTCATGTGAAGCAAAGCCTATTGATGGATGTAGCTGAGCACAGCAAACTGAGATGGAGGGACTTGCCAAGCCTCCAGGCTCGTAGAAGCCCGAGCCAAGTGGCAGGTGCTGCAAACCCTAGCAGAGAGCCAGAGAGTTTGGGTCCAGGTGTAAAGGCCCAGGTGTGCCCCTAAACATGGGTAGAGGAGAACTTTTACTTTTCCTTCAAAGCCCACTTACAAAAAGAAGCATGTCCCACTGTCCCAGGTGGTGAATGCCAGACAAACATGGGCAGGGAGGTGCCCAGGCTTGTGTGAGAATGTGCCCAGGCCGTAGCAGGTGGATGCTCAAAAGGTTGAGAAGATGGTTAAGAAGATAGAGAAGTCACACAGAGTCTGGTTGGTCCCTCCCTGGGTGTGAATTTGCTTGCTGAATTTGCTGTCACATCACATCACAGTTTTTTCTTAGAACATTTGTTATGCCCTACTTATGATGCAAACAATCAAACAACTGAATGATGCATGCAACCAAAGCCATAGTTATGCATGCACTACATGCATTTCAGAGGTTTCAGTTTTTTGCACCCTTGTAGGGAAGTCTTGGCCGCACGTTTGCCCCCCAGGTGGCACTCGTGCACGCACAGTGGCTCTTCTGATTCCTCTGGCCCCGTGAACCAGAGGACTGCTCCAGAGATTTGGAGCAAGATGGTGCCTTTGGGAAATGCCACGGGAGCGGGAGCACTAGGTGTATTTAAAGGCAGACCATGCCCCTGAGCCGACACCGCAAGCCCTGGTTGTCACAGCGGTAATCCCGTGGCAGGGCGATCACTCCCCAGCTGCTGCCATCTCCTGGCTGGGAGCCGGTCTGTGAAAAGCCTCCCAAAGGCAGGCTTTAACCGAGACCTCCCACCCACGCTGGCATGCACATGAACCAACCGAAACGGTTAAAAACATCACATGTCACACGAACACGTCACAGCTTAATCACGGTCTGATCTGATCTGATCTGAATCATGGTCTGAAATCGCTTGAAGTGTTGACTTTCAACATGAAATTCTGCTGTACTGCTGGCTGTGATGTTTTCCTGAGCCAGTTGTGTGACATTTCCTTCATGCTTCCATACCTTAATTCCACCTGTTTGTTGACTTTGCGTTCGGTATATGTATGTGTGTGTGTTTGATACCTTTACTCCCCATGCGCGTCTCCCTCCGCACGTCACGGGTCATTAGTATGTCCATGAGGGCTTCAGCCTTTCCTCGGGGCAGACGTACGATGCAAAATAGATACAATAGCAAACAAATAGATGAGGAAACCCAGATGCCAAGTGTAGGGTCTTATCAAACACAAGTACAGAGGCGCTGCAATGTGGCGAGCGGTGCCCAGCTCAAGGGCAGACCGAACATGAGCAGGAACAGGGCTCCAAAGATAAATGCACAAAAGCAAGGTTAAACGAAGTCCCAAGCCGGTTTTATCGGAAGTCCGGGTCGGGGTGATGTCCAACGGTGATCATGTTCCAGATGTCCGCGGAGGGGATGCGTGTGGCTGCTGAAGATCTTGCATCTGAACTTGTGCTCAATATTAAAGAAGAGTCTGAAAAGTGCCGAGGCGCGACGAATCCATGTTTTTGCTGTTCCTCCGTGGTGGAGGATCCTGCTAATGTCGTTTCTGAACTGATCTTGGATGGGTCAGGCGATGCCATGCTTGATGTCCTCAAGGTGAGAGCATATCATTTGTGGATGGCTAATGCATGTTCTTACTGTGCTGTTGGCTTTTTGGTACATGACCAACCATGATCAGATAGTTGTGTTCACCAATAATCCTGTACCGCTGTCCCATAGCGGTGTAATCGCGGAGAGTCACTTTGGGCCTCTAAATTAATGAAAACTATCTTTGTGAGCATGAGGATCTACTCCAGTCAAAAATCGTGTGATTTGTAGGCGAAATTTAGTCAATTAATTGGCTGGAATCCTTGGTAAGTCCACTTGCATTAAGTCCACTTTTGGTAAGTCCACTTGCACATAGGTACCAGCGAGCATTTCATTTATTTAAGTTTCTGTGTCCAGGGAGTGCATCGCAAGCCTTGTTGCTGACTTAGTATCCAAATGGCTGTTGTGCACGCGTGTAAAGGCGCCATTAGAACAGGGCTTTCCCAACTGGTGTCACCGGAATAGGCCCGGCCGAAATCCGGCGTGGCATTGCGCCACTTGTCGGGTGTTGGGGTCAGCGTTGACTCGCGATTGCGCCCTGCCGCCTGACATTGGAGTGATAATCGGCCCCATGCACCTCGAGTCGGAGCCGCGGCTGACTCCGTTGGAGCAAAATCAGGCATGAGTGCGCGCAGTCCAGACATGCTGACTACGCAGTCTGGCATGCGCACTTATGCCAGACATACGGACATCTACGCAGTCTGACGTGCGCACGTATGCCATGACATGACATATGTACATCTACGCAGTTCAGACACGCAGACTGCGTTGTCTGGCATACGTACGTCCGCAGCCTTCGTGCACCAGTTGTTAGGCGTTCTTGCTGTTCACACACTAGTTGTTCACTTCTGACGGCATATGTCATGCATTATGTGGATATTAATATTTGCTTGCTGTGGCTTTACTGCTCATGTGTCCATGCATCCCAAACAGAAGATAAAGTTCGTGGAGCAATGCCCCCTCCCCCGCCCGTCCCACCCCATCTGTGGTGCTGGCCAGGACCTGCTGGGGATATCGGAGGTGCGGGAGGCAGCTCGCCTCTGCCGCACGTGCGTCAGCAAGCTGTACAGCTACTGTCAGATGTCGTCAGCCGTCTCTCAGATGCGGCGTGACATGCGGATCGTCTTCGCCAAGGCGTCGGCCGCTTTTGCAAAGGTAGTGTGCTCTCTGCATTGGCTGATGTATCTGCTGACGTGACGTGGATTACGGCTCGGTTGAGTCAGGCCGATGTGCAGGACCGATACCTCTGCTGGCAAAGGCACATGTCCGTAATGATCTTTAAATGCTGTATAGGGTGCTTGACGTAAAGTGTGCAACCTTTTTACACACCTTCTCTCTCTCCTAACGCTCTCGCCCATTCATTTACGCGTTCTTGGACGTCGTGTCAGCTCATAAGCACTTAGCATTATGCATACAATTAGCAGTCGTAAGGTTAAATTATCTGGCAAACAGTCATCCCAATGTGACGAGAACACCCCATTGTCAGCAAGACCGAAGGTCACGTTTAAAAGCGGATGTCACATTATGGGGAATATCCCCGGAAAAAGAAGAGCTGGCTTTAAATCGCCCGTGTCGCGTTACCTGACATGCATGGACGGAGCCGCGTTCTCTAACCTCTCACTGTTTGCTGCCAGACGCGGGCGGAGGAGGCGCTCCGCCAGCCGGGTGGCTCTCCGCCGCCGGCCGGGGAGGACTCCCCGCCTCCCCGGCAGGAGGAGCGGGCGCCGCGGGAGGCGGCTCGTCCCGAGCTGAACATCAGTATTCGGGTAGTGGAGGAGCAAACAGCGGCGTCCAGCCCGTCGGTGGGTCCGCCCGCCTGCCCCGATCGTGGCGGCCTCGGAAAATGACACCCAACTTGGACTAACGCTCCACGGTCTTTTTCATATTTTGTGTTAATATTTTGCGCTCGAATGTATGGAGTTCCTACATTCGAACGATTCTGGAAAACCCTGTCATTTACATACGCCGTGGTCTTGAATGTTCCAATTCCGAAATTTTATCGGGCGGAGGGAGGCTGAAGTTCTCCGTCCATTACTGCGTCCGGGCCTGCGTGGGGTTGTAAAACATTCCTTCCGCCGTGTGTGCTGTTTGAACGACCGCTTGGCTGCGCCCCCCCCCCCCCTCCCCCACACACAAACAACACACACGCATACACTGGTTCGGTCAAGCCGTGTATGTGTCTTCGGGTCCTGAGTCTCGTGGTGTTGACGGCGGCCAGCGGCTCCCATTGGGGTTCAGGGTCGCACCTGTCCTCCCGCCCCGCTGGTGTCCTCTGAGGGTGAGCTCATCTATTCGGTCAGCGCTGAGCCCCCCCCCCCCCCCCCCCTCCTCCGCACACCATCTTGGTGAAACGTCCTCGGGGGAGGAGCCTCACCACTGGCTGGACAGTTCCCCGTAGTTTGTCCGGCACCGACTGGTAAGCCAGGGATAATCCTTCCTCGCCCCTCCCCTGCATCGTTAAAATATACCGTTTTCGCGAGGGACGAATCCCCTCAGGAGGTATCCAGTCGCGATCCACCTATTCACCACTTCCATGGTCCTCCTGCCGTGGCACCATCCGTGACCGTTCTCTCCAGCCGTGACGATCGCCGCGGTCGTCGTTCCCGCCGTGACGCCGGCCGTGATCGTCCTCCTCGTCGTGACGCCGGCCGTGATCGTCCTCCTCGCCGTGACACCGTCTGTGACCGTCCTCGTCCGCCGTGACATGGGCCGTGACCGCCTTCCCCCGCCGTGACACGGGCCGTGACAGTCTTCCCCCGCCGTGACACGGGCCGTAACCGTCTTCCCCCGCCGTGACACGGGCCGTGACCGTCTTCCCCCGCCGTGACACGGGCCGTGACCTTCCTCCCCCGCCGTGACACGGGCCGTGACAGTCTTCCCCCGCCGTGACACGGGCCGTGACCTTCCTCCCCCGCCGTGACACGGGCCGTGACCTTCCTCCCCCGCCGTGACACGGGCCGTGACCGTCTTCCCCCGCCGTGACACGGGCCGTGACCTTCCTCCCCCGCCGTGACACGGGCCGTGACCTTCCTCCCCCGCCGTGACACGGGCCGTGACCGTCTTCCCCCGCCGTGACACGGGCCGTGACAGTCTTCCCCCGCCGTGACACGGGCCGTAACCGTCTTCCCCCGCCGTGACACGGGCCGTGACCGTCTTCCCCCGCCGTGACACGGGCCGTGACAGTCTTCCCCCGCCGTGACACGGGCCGTGACCGTCTTCCCCCGCCGTGACATGGGCCGTAACCGTCTTCCCCCGCCGTGACCGTCTTCCCCCGCCGTGACACGGGCCGTGACAGTCTTCCCCCGCCGTGACACGGGCCGTGACCGTCTTCCCCCGCCGTGACATGGGCCGTAACCGTCTTCCCCCGCCGTGACACGGGCCGTGACCGTCTTCCCCGCCGTGACACGGGCCGTGACCTTCCTCCCCCGCCGTGACACGGGCCGTGACCGTCTTCCCCCGCCGTGACACGGGCCGTGACCGGCTTCCCCCGCCGTGACACGGGCCGTGACCGGCTTCCCCCGCCGTGACACGGGCCGTGACCGGCTTCCTCTGCCCGTCGCCAGCCGGGCGTAGAGCCTGTGCGGCCGTTCTTCTGCGCCGAGGCCGGCTGCGGCCAGACGTTCGGCAGCGCGCGGCGACTGCAGGAGCACCGGTACCAGCGGCACCGGCCGGTCGGCCTGTCCTGCCCCCAGTGCCCCTGGTGGCCGAGTCAGAGCACGAGCTGCATAGTCATGTGGAGGTGGGCGCGTAGTCGGGCAGCAGGCGACTCTTCCCCGGCGTGCTATGTCTGCTGACGGAGACTCGGCAGCGTCTCGCGACAAGCTGTGATCGTTTTATTATTTTTTCATCACAAGCTGCAATGCAACGCTCGCACCGATCGCCTCGGGAGGGGGGGGGGGGGCGGAGCGGAGCTCTAGCATCCACTGGGTAAGCACCCGGCGGAGTGTGTATGCCAATATATGGACCAGGCCCCGCTCCACTAATGTGCAGGTGCGTGTTTGCTCGTGAGCGAGCGGGGCGTGCCTCTGACGCCATCCGACCACCGCTGGCCTCTTAGGCATAGCCCAGCTCGTTTATTCAGCTTCAGTCACGCGGTAAATGTGGCGAATCTGGTCAATAGTACAAGCGATGTTTCGTTAAAGCAACAAATTAAAATAATGGTAGAGAAGTGGGCACTACGCGGGTGAACCCTCGGGGCTCCTCTGGTGTGTGACCAGAAGGCGGGGTGGCTCGGGACGCACCTAAATACCAAAGCTCGCCGGGTGCTTGTCAATGGACATATTGAAAGCTCCTGGCGCTCACTACCAGGGCACGGGTCTCGTCCTGCGACGCCTGGGCCCGCCTAAACAGCGTGGCCCTGACCCGGGGGAGGGGGCACGTGGGGGGGGGGGGGGGCGGAGTGACGGTGACGGCTCCGTGGTGGCGTCGCCAGTCGGTGCACCGGACGGGCGAGGCCCTGTATGGCTGTGACGAGTGTCAGGAGCGCTTCTACCTGGAGGCCGAGCTTAAGAGGCACCGGCGCACGCTCCACGACGCCAAGCGGTACATCAAGTGCAAACACTGCCGCAAGGTGTTCAGGTGAGCGGAAGGGGCGCCGACGACCACGGACTGGCTTTCTGTGGGATGGCGGTGAGTCTCGCTGTAAGTTACGCGTGACGACCGTAGCACGACATTTTTGCGTGTAGAAATGCTCACACTCTGTTACAGCTGTCACGCTTGACCTTGGTTTGTGGACGTGAATGAATGAACCGTGGAAATGAAACAGCAGTGATCTACCTCCATCTCCAGTCATTTTATTGCTTGAGCCGTCCATTTAGTACAAGTGGAGGAATAACTACGTGCGTTATGTTATTGTTTCGGCCGGCTTTTACCCCGTTTCATTCCAACAATCAGAGTAGCATCTTTGCGCCGGTTAAAACGTAGTTAAAAGCGATTGTGTCGCTCAAGACATCGGGCCTGCCCGTACGCAGCACCGTTCGGCGGCGAGCCCTGTCGTCCCTGCTGGGCGTTTAGAGCGTGCGTGACCCGGCGCTCGCTGGCCGCAGGTCGCGCCTCTCGTACCTGGAGCACCAGGCCCAGCACAGCGGCCAGCGACTGCTGGAGTGTCCGGTCTGCAGCGAGACCTTTAGCCGGCGCGTCTGCTTGGCCGTCCACATGAAGGTGTGCATGATGGTCGTCAGGGTCTGACGGGATGCGGTCAAGGGCTGACTCTCTGGTGGGGTGTGCGCGTCCGAGGACAGGGCAGGAGAGTGACGAGGGCGCTCCTCAGGTCAGCCGCGCTGCAGCTGCCGGCTGTCCTCAGCCGGCATGTCCAATGGGCCCATCGATGACAGCGGTCTTTTTACTATGGTGACCTGCGTCCATTGGTGGTGACCTGTAGGACCTGCGCTTGGCGATGGTGACCTGTAGTGGCCTGCCTGATTGTCGGTCGTGACCCGCAGTGACCTCTGGCCCGTCTCTGGCGCAGGTGCACCGGAAGCACGGCGGTGTGCAGACGTGTGACCTCTGTCAGGAGAGTCGTGACCCGCAGTGACCTCTGGCCCGTCTCTGGCGCAGGTGCACCGGAAGCACGGCGGTGTGCAGACGTGTGACCTCTGTCAGGAGAGTCGTGACCCGCAGTGACCTCTGGCCCGTCTCTGGCGCAGGTGCACCGGAAGCACGGCGGTGTGCAGACGTGTGACCTCTGTCAGGAGAAGTTCTCGACTGTGGGCCGGCTGCGCACACACCAGCAGCGCCAGCACGGCATCGAGCAGCCCTGGCGGTGAGTGAGCCGTCGGGCGCGCGGCTTCGCTCCCAGTCGCCACCGGCCGCGTGCACTTGACCCTCCGTCGTGACCCTTGGGACATCGTGGGACCCTGGAGACTTGTGAGACCCTGAAGACCCGTGAGGGACAGATCCCAGCGTCCCAAGACCCAGCGAGGAGGCCTGTCCACGGGGCCCTTTTCCGGACCCGTAGGATCCTTGGAACACTTTGGGGACAGACACTTACGAGCGCCATGTGACCTTTGTAGTCGGTGCGCCCCAAAGCCCAAATGATCGTCATCGGGAACGGACACTGGTCGCCCTCTCAGCTCTGGATGTTGCCCTGTAGTCCGCGTACCTCATACCCGTCTGTCTGCGGCAGCCCGACAGATGGCGGCCCGACCATGGGGCGCGGGTTTACGGCGCCCCACGTCGTGCCTTGGTTGGCTGCGAACTGATGGTGGTGCGGTGGTGCCATCGTGCCGGCGGCCCGCTGGTCGCTCGGAGGCGGCGCGCGCGCCTGCCGTCGCCGTCGTGCCGGCGGCCCGCTGGTCGCTCGGAGGCGGCGCGCGCGCCTGCCGTCGCCGTCGTGCCGGCGGCCCGCTGGTCGCTCGGAGGCGGCGCGCGCGCCTGCCGTCGCCGTCGTGCCGGCGGCCCGCTGGTCGCTCGGAGGCGGCGCGCGCGCCTGCCGTCGCCGTCGTGCCGGCGGCCCGCTGGTCGCTCGGAGGCGGCGCGCGCGCCTGCCGTCGCCGTCGTGCCGGCGGCCCGCTGGTCGCTCGGAGGCGGCGCGCGCGCCTGCCGTCGCCGTCGTGCCGGCGGGCCCGCTGGTCGCTCGGAGGCGGCGCGCGCGCCTGCCGTCGCCGTCGTGCCGGCGGCCCGCTGGTCGCTCGGAGGCGGCGCGCGCGCCTGCCGTCTCGACGTGACCAGGCGTACCCGCACGGCGCCGAGCTCGCAGTCGGCTGGAGCTGAGCTGATGGAGAGCTGATGGAAAGCTGATGGAGCTGACTCGTTCCCCGGCACCTGCCCGCCGTCAGTCAGGCGTGACTTACGGTGGTGGGACGCACAGGGCCGCGGGCTGGTTACGAGAGTCGGTGATGTTGACGAGCGTCGTTCGTTGCCGGGTGGGCGTTCGAGCTCCCCGAGTCCTGTCATGTCGCCCTGCCGCCAGGTGCGAGTACGAGGGCTGCGAGAGGGCCTTCCGCTCGTGCGCCTCTCTGGAGGTGCACGTCGTCAACCACACGGGTAATCGGCAGTTCTGCTGCGACGTGTGCCAGAAGCGCTTCAGCACCAAACATCGGCTGGCCTCCCACTACCGGCGAGTATGCCTGACGGCGGGCCGGCCGACCGGGCGGGACGGGCGGAGGTAGGGGAGGTGGTGTGTCGATGGCTGGAGCGGGTCGGATCAGCCCCCCCCCCCCCCCCAGCGAGTGGTAGCCGGGGGTAGCTAGTAGCCAGCTGGGCTCCGGAGGGGCCTATCCTCCCCCCCCCTCCCCCCCCCGAGGCAGTGCACAACACCCGTCTGTCACTACGCTGGGGACAAAGACGTGAAAAGGAGTGGCTCGTGGGCGTTTGGAGGAGCTTGCTGTCACTTCGTCAAAGCTGTAGATGGCGGTTAGTCGAGATCTTTCGCTGGCGCGTGCCAGTGTGGCCAGCCTCGCCGGCAGACCTGCCCGGAATGGCAGGCGGGGGGGGGGGGGGAGGGGATTTCTCTGTGACCCGTCGCACAGCTCACCCGCGCGCCTGGCGGGTGGCGACGGTACAGCTTGGGCGAGCCAGCACTGCGGCGGGCGTCTGCGCCGGTCTGCCGAGCCGGGCCAGAGACAGAGTTCTCCCCCGCCCCGCCGCCCCTTCCGGCGCCGGTGTGTCTCGTCCGTCCAGGGCGGGCGCCGCCAAACGCCACCACTGGATTGACGGGGCTTGGCCCGGATTGGCTGGCGCTGCCGGCGTCAGCACCGGCCCTGGCAACGCCAGCGAGGGGTTCGATGCTCCTCCTGGGTCTGCCTCGAAGCGGAGGAGGGCGCGTGCTCGTCATTGTGCTGTATGTGTAGTGCGGCGCCTGCGTCGTCCCAGCTGCCGCGCTGGCCTGGCGTCGTCCTGATGTGCGCTGATGAGAGCGCTGCTCGTGTGACCCAGGATCCACACGGGGGAGAGGCCGTTCCAGTGTGACCTGTGCGGACGACAGTTCACCCACAAGTCCAACTTGTACCAACATACGACCCTCGCGCACAAAACGGTAAGCTCTCGGACCATTGGGCGACGGGGAAGGGAGACGACGCTGGGTCGGGTGGTCAAAACACGCGCTGTTTGTTTTTGTGGTATCGCTGAGGTGCTGCAGAAATTCTGCTGGACCACATTCGCTGGCGCCGCCCAGCTGCTACAGCTACTCGCCCTTGTTTAATCCACTCGGTCTTTGAATAGGGAGCCACCATGACTCTCCCTTAATTACACCATCGTGACAGTCTTGCAGACAGCAGTTAACCCACGATGGTTTAAGCGTTAATAACCCATGACGGGTTGTTTTTCTCACAGGACACCCACCGCCCTCAGTTTTCTTTACAGGTGACGGCACATTGTATCTGTCACGTTGTGTGCACTTTGTGCCGGACATGCCGCATTTCTGAAGGGAGGACAGATGGTCACATCTGGACAGGCTGTGTCAGCTGTAGCGTGACATGCTCCCCTGACACCCGGACCTCACCTGTATCACTCGCGAGGAGCTGCCAACATGTGACGACAGTGCCAGCGGATTGTTCACGACCTGAGGTGCACGTATATGAGCATTTGCCTCCAGCTCGGACCACCACGGCCGCCGTCGGGGACGGCGTCTGGTGATAGCCGCCTCCATCCTCGCGCCCCGACCTGTCCCCCGACCTGACTCCAGATCTGGCCCAGGATCTGACCCCAGATCAGACCCCTGAACTGACCCCTGACCTATCCGACCCCTGGCCTCACTACTGACCGGATCCCTTATATGACGCCTTGCCTCAACCCTGATCTGACCCCTGATCTGACCCATGATCTGACCCCTAACCTGACCCCTGACCTGGCCCCTGATCTGACCCCCTACCTGCCCCCACGGCCGCCAGGAGCGGAACCACAAGTGTGTCGACTGTGGCAAGGCGTTCCGGCGCGCGCGCGAGCTGGAGACACACCGGGCGTCGGCGCACGCGGCGTCGGAGGGCGAGCGGCCGGCCGGCGCGCCGCGCTCGGTCGCCGCCTCCCCGGCCTCCGGCAAGCAGTACAAGTGCGCCATCTGCCAGCGCGGATTCCTCCGGCTGGACAACCTCAGGTGAGCGGCTCAGCTGGGCTGAGCAGCCCCGGCGGGGGCCGGGCGGAGCGGGACAACCTCAGGTGAGAGGCTCAGGTGGGCTGAGCAGCCCCGGCGGGGGCCGGGCGGAGCGGGACAAACCCCAGGTGAGAGGCTCAGATGGGCTGAGCAGCCCCGGCGGGGGCCGAGCGGAGCGGGGCAACCTCAGGTGAGAGGCTCAGATGGGCTGAGCAGCCCCGGCGGGGGCCGAGCGGAGCGGGACAACCTCAGGTGAGCGGCTCAGGTGGGCTGAGCAGCCCCGGCGGGGGCCGAGCGGAGCGGGACAACCTCAGGTGAGCGGCTCAGGTGGGCTGAGCAGCCCCGGCGGGGGCCGAGCGGAGCGGGACAACCTCAGGTGAGAGGCTCAGGTGCGGCCGACCAGCCCCGGCGGGGGCCGGGCGGTGCGGGACGGCCGCGAGTGAGAGGCTCAGGTGCGGCCGAACAGCCCCGGCGGGGGCCGGGCGGGGCGGGACGGCCGCGGGCTGTCTGATTCGGGCTGGGTAAGGGCAGGTGAGGTCTGGCTGATGCCGGACAGCTTCAGGCGATACTTATCGCGGTCTGAACGAGCTCCGGGGCGTTCAGACTCGAAACTGGACAAACTCACGTGTGGTTTGACTTGAGCTGGATGACCTATTCTTTTTTCGCTGGGCGCCATCGCACTACGAAGTGTGCCACATGAGGGCCCGATCAGCCGGCTCAGCGACCAGGAAAGTGGGACACCATTGGGCAGTTGCTGTCCAGCATGGAGATGATCGATGTTACCCACACAGGACAGCATAAAACGGATTGGACCACGCTGTAAGACGTCTTGCTATCCTACACGTTCTGGCTCACCTAAGATGCTTGTTCCCCACTTGGAACCAATCAAGTACCTCCTGTCCACATCATTGCTCCCCTGTTCTGTCCTCACCGTTCCTATTCTTCCCATATACCACTGCCTCGCTAGGCTTTACTCGTTCACCCAGCGCGCGGCGACCATCCGAACCCCCTGCCGCCACCGTACCGTCCACGCCACTTCACCGGCCGCCAGCCTGACGCGGCGCTCGCCTGAGTCGGCCGTCCTCCCGCAGGACGCATATGTTCATCCACTCGAAGAAGAAGCCGTTTGAGTGCCGACTGTGCGGCTTGGGCTTCCTGCGTCGGCCGCCGCTGCTGCAGCACATGCAGGTTACCGGGCACGGCGACCACCGCAACGACTACGTCATCAACGAGGTGAGGCGGCGCGGGGGGGGGGGGCTGGCCGGATCAGGCGCGTGTTGCGCTGCGAGCGGCCAGCTACCGGGCAGGTGGGAGGTCTGGGAGCCTGCGGTGGTTGCGACAGAGGCTGAGATGTCAAAGGGATGTATAGCGTACGTGTGGTTTCTTGATTTTAAAACAGGAGTCAAGACTGGGGTAGTTTGTCCTTCCGCCCCAACCACAGTCGTATCTCTGTCCGCCGGTGTGACTGTGTCTCCCTGCCGGCGTGACTGTGTCTCCCCGCCGGCGTGACTGTGTCTCCCCGCCGGCGTGACTGTGTCTCCCCGCCGGTGTGATTGTGTCTCCCCGCCGGCGTGACTGTGTCTCCCCGCCGGCGTGATTGTGTCTCCCCGCCGGCGTGACTGTGTCTCCCCACCGGCGTGACCGTGTCTCCCCGCCGGTGTGATTGTGTCTCCCCGCCGGCGTGACTGTGTCTCCCCGCCGGCGTGATTGTGTCTCCCCGCCGGCGTGACTGTGTCTCCCCACCGGCGTGACTGTGTCTCCCCGCCGGCGTGATTGTGTCTCCCCGCCGGCGTGACTGTGTCTCCCCGCCGGCGTGACCGTGTCTCCCCACCGGCGTGATCGTGTCTCCTCGCGGCCAGGCCGTGTTCGTGATGGATGCCCCGGCGGAAGAGGCCACCGGCTCAGTTCGCCTCATCGCCGCCGGTCAGCAGCAGGTGAGGGACGGCTCGTTGGACGGTCACCGGTCACCGTCGGTAGAGGGGGAGGGGGAGGGGTCCACTAGAGGTCAGGACTCGACGGGCTGAGGGGTTCGTCGCTGCACTCATCACTTGTCCTTGATCTGAAAGCATTTGCCTTTTAGTGTGTTTCGTTGAAACAGTGGATTCACCTGTAACCCAACAATGAGAAAATAGTGTTAGCAATAACAAATGCACCTTTCCGCATCTTTTGGAAGTTTTTCAATCGACGATGGGCAGAAGGTAGCCTTTGGTTTCTCACTGCCAGTTCACTGTCTGTCTTCCTCAGTTGTTCTCTGTATTGGACTCGTCCGGAGGGGGTCAGTTGGACGGCGCCAGTGGCGGCGTGACGCAGATCATCTTCAAAACGGACTCCCCTCACGCCCAGCTGGACTCGCCGGGCACTGCGCAGCCTCATCTGGCTGACGATAGATGGCAGCAACGGAACGAGCCTGTATCCCAGGGTGATCAGGGTGACGATAGGTGGCAGTAGTGGTCAAACTCACCCTTTTTTCTTTTTTTTGTTGGCAGTGTTTTTAAGGTAAAGGTGGGTTTACCTGGCGGGACTTTCTCTTTTGGTTGGGAGGAGAGCAATATTTTGTGAGCATTGTTGGCAGTAGCAGTGTTATACATTGCGAAGATGAGTGAATGGCATCAATGTTGCAGTGTCGGTTTTGTCAACTGTGTGCTTATCTCAGCGTGTTTATAACGTCGCCTGTTCACAGTTTGGATAAAGTTACGGTCGACGGGCTTAGCCATTTTTTTAACGAAATCTCGCGGAACCATGTATCTAGCGATGTTTAGCCCACTCATCACTTGTATTGCTGTGTGTGTGTGTGTGTGTGTCAATACACCAAAATGTGCGTGATCTATAGTGCATGCATTTTGTCTGATTTCTGGACTTCTCGCGAAGTACACACTCAGCACAGGTGGACGTTTCTCGCTCGTAGTGCAACGCTCTGCATCGTGAGATTCGTAGCAGTTTGAGCACCGGCCTGGCTGGTACATGCCGATACACATGCAGTTCGGCATGGGAGAGCTGTCTGGGACGGGACTGCGGAGCGCAGTGCGAGTCGTGAGGTAGCTGACTCTCCACTCGGCTGGGTGGCGTAATGTCAGTCGGCGCGGCCGGAGAGTGGCGTGGGACAAGTGGGAACCATGTAACCGCGCATGGACGGCTCTGCCGGCGGAAAACCGTCGTAAGACCGGCGCGCGCCGTGTGGCTGGCTGCCTGAGGTGGGGGGGGGGGGGGGGGGGGGGGGGCGAGGCGCTTGTCCACGGTGTGTGTTGTGTGCGTTTGGGACGCCACCGCTGTCAGACCCATGCTTCGCCACGTCGGGGGCACGGCGAACTGGCCAGGTCACTTGCCGAAGGCGCGTCGGCGAACGCCCTTAGTCCCCGGACCGGAGGTGCAGACCCGACGTCTGTCCGTGGTCGTGATCTCATCAGGGTCGCTCGTTGCTTATTCACGACTAGCGTGCCGACGGTCCGTGGCAGTGAACGCGGCGGGCTGGGCGAGGCGCAGGCATTGACACCGTGACCTGCCGCCAGTCTTCACGATGGCCGCGACGAGAAAAATGCTGCAGGTTATGGTCGGCAGTTTCCAGTATTTGCTGTCGGATGGACCTTACGGAATTTTGGCCAAACGTTTGGCGGTTCTCAAAGTCTGGTGTTCAGTCCTTCGCCTAGTTTTGGTGGATCCTGGGCATGTCGTGTCTTCACGCGTGCCCTCAGCCATAAGTTATCCTTCCGAACGCACAAATCCCAAAAGCAAAACAATCGTTTAATGCGTATAGCGTACCGTTGAGGAAAAAGGGGTAGACTGCAGGAAAGGGACTATTCTGTCTGTGTTGCTAGAATGGAAGTACACCGCACGTTTCAGATGTAGTATCCTGTGATTTAACCGGCATTTCTGCCAAACGGGGTTTCAGTATTGCCGGTTACACAGGCCCGTCCCGTGACTCGGTTCGAGCGCCTGCTTTCTTCCGATCCACCCACCCTCAGCGGGGATGGGTGCGAGTCGGTTTCGGTGCTCGCTATTTGCCCTCGATAAGTGTGACGTGTTGCCGGTGGCAGCAGGCGCGCTAAAGGTCAGGTGACGTCAGAGGGCAGGACAAACTGCCGAGCAGTGCGGCACGTTTAATTCTCGTCATCACATTATGCCGCTGACCTGGAATCGCACGATCGAATGGCAGAGGTCAGGGCTCACATCATAAGCGTTGCACCTCTGATTCTAAAAGCCCATCATTTCAAAAAGTGTAGATGGAATCCTTTTGAAAACTGCTCCCAGCCGGCCAGCGTCACGGCTCACAGCTCTGTCCCGCGCGCTTCTCACTGAGTGGTCGCGGATCACTGTCCATATGAAATTCATCAATGCAGAGTCGGCCAGGGCACACTACATCGCCGCATTGTCCACACAGTGGTGTGAGCTCCCATAGAGAGTAGGCCCGCCCGAACATCCGGACTGCCCCGTAAACGAGAGCAGATCTCCCCGTCGACCCGGTCCGCGCGGCCGGCCGAGCGCTGGCCTCTTATTCAGAGGGTCCTCAGACCCGTGACGGGCCGACTCCGCGCGACGGAGCGAGCTCGTCCTGCCGCTGTCCCGTGGCGGAGGAGCCTCCGGCGACCGGCCCGCCAGCGGGAGGCGCCCGAGGAACCACTTGTCACTTCGCTCACCTGCGGCCGGTGCGCGCGCCCGGCGGCCGCGAGTCGGCGCCAAAAATACCCGCGCGCGCGCCGTGCCGGCCGCAGTCCCTGCTCCGGCGCCGGGCGAGCGGACCACGTGCACACGCCGCGCCCGTCGCCGCCGGCTCGCACGCGCGCGCGCTCCCAGCCGCACGTCCGGCGTGGACTCGGTGGACGACGGCGTGGACCGGAGTGGACGTCGGGTGGACGGCGCTGGACTGCGGCGGCGATGCGCGCGGGCGGTGCGGCGCCGCCGCCGGCCGTCGGCCCCCGCCGGCGCCTCTGAGCGCCGGACGGCCACGTCCGGCAGAGGTCACTGACCAGGGCCAGGTCCGGCCGTCGCGGCCGGCAGCTGCTTAGACTGGGGACGCCGGGAGCGAAATGCGGGGTCACGATGCCGATTGGTGCCGTAGATGAGGCCGTCGCCCGACCACGAAGCCAGGTGCACTGCAAACATTGCCAAGGTAGGTCCGACGGTGGCGGCCGGGGTGCGTGGCCGGGTCACGCCCGGGGTGTGACGGAAGTGCGTGTCTCAGCAGCGGGGGTGACAGTGCTGACAGAGGCTGGTGGATGAGCTGCCACAGCAGGTCTGGCGTTGGTGATGGCGCCGCACAGGATCTTGTTGGTTATCAGGTGACTTTGAGGCTCGCAGGGTTTTCGTTATGCTTTGCTTTGCGCTGTTCGAAATATTTGCAACCAGTTCAACACACGAGCCTGTGTGTGGATGAAGGGGGATCATGATTTGAAACATGCATGGTAAGTGGAAAACCCGTAGGATCGTGTGCAGGCGAACAAATGTTTCGTACCAGGTCGTGTCGTGTCGTGCAGGTAATGTTGTGAAGACACTACTTCCGCTCGCGAACACTGCTGTCTTACGGTGTGAGTCAACATTAAACATGTTCGTGACCTGGTTCAGGTGCCAGGTATCCTCGGTTGGCCAGAAGTGCGTGCGTGGATTACCTTGGGTTGGCTAAGACTGGCTGTACGGGCCGAATAGCTCGTTGGTGAAAAGGCGGGAGGGCGACCGATGTATTGAAAAGTCCTTTCAATGACATGGTTTTTTCCAAAGCTTTCGATTTTTTTGACTTCAGTTTTTGATACATCGAATTTGTATGTATGTATGTGCGCATACACTTATCGCGGCGTATATGATCGGATAATAATCTCACGAGAATTGGAGATTCGGTAGGAATTGAATTAGGATTGCGGTTTGACTAAATATCAGTCACATGTGAAACCGGAGGCCGCGTGGTGAACACATCGCGTATTAATGATAACAATCCACGCGGGATCAAAATCCTGCGGCGGCTGAAGGAGCAGGCGAGCCCGACGGGCTCAGCTGGGCTCAGTCCGCTCACCGGCCCCGCCGAGCCACAGGCATCGGCCGTCACTAGAGCTGGCCCGGCTGGCCGTGACGGAGCGACGATCCTAGTACTGTTGAGACTGCTCACAGGCTGGTGTTAATGGCAACAGCTCCCCTACGGGAGCAGCCCAGCACACGCTGATCACGAAAGAAGTAGTGAAAACGCATGCTCGGGTGCGAGAAAAGTATGATCGAATGCGAAGAATAGTGGAAACCATGTAAGTTTTAAGCGCATTTACGGGGAACATTATTCACCAAGATAAGACAGAAGCAATAGCCTCACTCCACGGAGAAAACCAGGAAAATGGAGATATAGATGTACTGATATTTCGGCAATATGCCTTTATCGAAACAACATCAGAAGTGAATCCACTGCTGCTATTGTTTCCATAAAGGCAGTTACCGAAATATCAACACATATATATCTCCATTCTGGTTTTTCTCCGAGGAACAAGGCTATTACTACTTATCGGTAGTGAAAACGCATGATCAGACGCCCCGTGCCATGATCAAGGGTCGTAAGTCTAACCATTTCGCCGCCGTCATCGCAGACGTTTTGTTCGCAGTTTGACAAATATCTGTATGTAAATCGTATCTGTTACCGGCGCCCAAGCGTCTTGAAAGCAATCAGCTTCCTTATATCGAACACATTTCATTGCAAACACGACTACACGGACATTCTGCGGGCATCGATTAATTCCATGCATGCCGGATCAACTGTCTTCGAGTCATGTACTTACCTGTGTCGTAACTGACTGCAACACGTCAGCTGTCAGTCCTGCACTGCATCACTGAACAGTCCCACTGCCGCGCGTAACGTCGCTGCCGGATGCTGTGTTTGCTAAACGCCTCGAGCTCCAACTTTTCCTGAACTCTTTGGGGGGGGGGGGGGAACGCGCGAGCTAAGGACAGTGCTGCAGGTTGCTGAAGCTGAGGTGTGCGGTCTGATTGTAATGGGACCGTCTGGGGTTGTGCTGGCCGCTGACTGCTGACTGCTGGCTGCTGGCTGCACTGAAAATGACTGGCTGGCTGTAATATGGTGCATCTCTGAGGAGATGCGAACGAATTGAAGGGGATCTGACCAAATTGAAACAAAATGAAATCAAAAATCAAAATAAACTACACTGTAAGGAGAGATCAAAGTGCATTTGAAAGTCCGTCTTTATGTTTCATGATCATTGTTTGGTGCAGTACCTTAAGGCTGCACTGAAACAAGAATGGAACGGTGACATTGACCAAGATTATAATTGTTCGGACATCACGCACATAGAATCACGCAGTGTTGTGTCACCAAATCGTTGGATAACAAATAGTGTTCGCAACAGAACTGAGCTAATAGAGTGTAAAGAGTGCACGCAATACTACTGGGATGAAGTGTATTGTGCACGCAACAACGCCATTTCTAACTTATTGGCATTACTTTCGCACGCAGCCCACTTGAACCGCAGACGATTTTGTATTTATCCGCGAACCATTAGCGTTAGCGTCCTGCAACTACGTGAACTTTCCTAAACGGTTTTAGGGAGCACTTTTAGAACGGATATCGACTTATTTAAACCAATGTACCTTCCGAAGTTTCTTTACCATATCCAGCTGTTGCCTTATCAAAGTGGGCTATAGCATGATTCAACCGAAGCGAGCTATTACAGTGTTTAATGGATCAGGAATGATGTCATTTAGATGATGTGTGATACATGTTAGCTGCCATGGAAGGAATCAGAGGCAATATGGCAAAGAGATCATGCGATCAGCTATTCTCGTGAATCAGACCAAATTTTTATAGAAATAATGCAACTTTACTAGCAGTTATCG